TGGCAGTTACAAAAATATATATTCATCTGAAACTCTAATAAATTTGCTTGAGGCATTAGATATTCAAATTCAAATGTATATTTTCTAAAGCATTTTACCAATTTAGTGTTCTTGGCTGCATACAGTATATTTGTATACATGCTATTAGGTTTGTGTTACAAATAATGCCATTTTAAGTAAAAGACACAGATGATCAATAACACACAAAGACACTGGGAAGGTTTTCAAAGCAAACATATCCACACATATACCAGACCCAACGGCTGTGCCTTGCACTAAGTGAATTCTCAAAAACATTTGTTGAATGAATGCTTGACTGGATAGCATTTATCTTGTTATTTGCACCTAAAATTAACTCTCCAAAGCTATCTCTAGTAGAAATATAATTTTAAAATTTAACAATTTTGTTCTTAATTAGCTACTTCTCAATGGCAAAGCCAGGTCAGCTGATTCCAGATTGAATAGCAAAGTACTGTCAGTGATCAAAAGATCAGGTACATTTACTACATGGCTGGACAGCTCTGATACCTACAGTAAGACATTCATTCAATATATTGAACGACTCCATTTGTCATACAGTCATACAAAACAAAACAATCTTAGTTTTTATACCATATTATCACAAAAACAAAATCTAGTAAGTATAATAATATATATAGACATATACATACACACACACACACACACACACACACACACACACACACACATATATCTTATTTAGTAGACTTAGTAGACTTCAGGTATCTCTTCTCAGTGAGAGATGCAATCTATCCTGAGTGAAGCAGGCCTTGTGTCTATATAACAATTGCTCAATGATGTGCAGACCACCCTTTAGCAGTCTTCCATGTATGCCCACCAGATGGCTGGCAATATGAATGTTGACATCTCTGTTAATGCCAAACCTTTGAAGCAGTAACATTTTTTGTGAAATCAAAGACTAGCTGTAATGACTAGTATGGAGTTTTAGCACCTAGGAAGATAATGGTCAATATTTGTTAAACGGAATATCCTGGGGTCGTTTTTGGTACAGACCCCTCCTCGTAACTTTCCCCAACCTGTTTTGCTTCATGCAAGGTGAAGCTTTGCTGTGGCCCATCACTAAAAGTTCAAACATTTGATAGAAGAAAGATTATTTTTCTCAATCAAAATTCAGATCACTTTAAGTCATTTCAAAGCTTTTGCCCTAGTACTTAAGCAAGACCACTGACAATTCATTTAGCAAATTGGTTAGTATATCTACATGTTAATGAAATTACTGCTATGAGAGAGTTCTTGAGCTATAATTTAGTAAGATAATTCATATAACAATGTCTTTAAAAATTAAAGTTTTTAATTTTAACTTTTAAAGACATTGTTTCCAAAAATTCACAAGCAATTTGGTCAAATATTAAAGGTTAGTTTCAATACCACTAGCACATAAAGTCTAAAAATAACCTTTAAAGTAACATGTAAAGTAAACATGATTTAAAGTAAGGCTATCCATTTTATATTTCAATATTATGGCTTTTCAATAGTACAAGTGAATAAAAATTGCCCACTGCTCTGCATTAAATCATGCTACACAGGAAAAGATCTACTTGAACTAATAAAATAATACTTTTGTATTTTAAATCCAAAGGTATTAGATTCAAAACACAGTCATTTACTCTCAACTGAACACTTCCAAATCAATAAACACTATTTTTTTCTACAAAATGTACAAGCTCCAAGGGCTGAAAATGAGTTGTTTTCTTAAATTATTTAATATGTCCCTTAGGATTTGTTTACTCGTTCATTTTCTTGACTCTCCAAGTTAGTGTCAAGATCAATTTCATTCCATTCTGAATTTAATGATCCCAAAATTTAAATCAATTGACTCAGAACTAATGTCATTTCAATGTCATATATATTATATTTTCATAAGAAGTTTACCTAATTTTAAATTGAATGCTATTTCTGTAAGAAGAGTGGCCAGTGAATGCATGGTGAATCCAAGCCACCATCAGAATGCATTTTATGAAGAGAAAGAAAGCAGTATGAGAATTCAGATTTGGAAATTGATAAAGTTTACACTATAAAGTCAATATTATATATCCAATATAAGTAAAACCAGCACAGAAATTCTCTCCTCCTTTCTTTTTTCTCTTTAAATAGAAATGGAAATAAATGTAAAATTCTAACCTCAAATTTTTCATACTTTAATATTACATTGTTTTGTAATATTAGCAGTTAATAGTAGAAAAATTAATAAAATATAATAGAATGCTTAAGATGTATTGACTATGAATTTCTAGCTTACAATTATTTTTGAGTCAGGTCCTAAGTTAAGATCCACAATTTCTATGCATGACCTTCCCTTTTAGGTTGGGAAGGGAGTTGTATATGCTAAGGATTTGGAAGAAGTTAGCAGGTTTTAGCAGCATTTGAAGGTGAACTGGTAATAGAGTGGCATATAGCTTTAAGGTAAACACATCCTAAAAACTCAAGGTTGTGCCCAATGTCACATGGAGGTACATATGGCCTTGGAAGAAAACTATCGTTATTCATTCATCCATTAGGTATTTTTTTACTGTTATCACTGTGTTGGAATTATAATCAAGTTTTATGTGATGTACTATCTAAAACTGTCATTTTTGATGATGAGGAATATGATACAAAATAGTTTTTCAGATTGCAACAGTGTTGAGTTGCCTCAAAATATTCATCCAGAATTGTAAAATGTCCAGGAAATCCTATTATTTTCATAGATTTAAAGCATTTTACATGTTTCCATTCACCTGTTTTGAATATAAGATGTATAATTTAATGACAACACATGGCACCTAACTCCAAATTTACTTACAAATAATTGTCATATTATAATAGTTCTTATATTGATAAGGTAAAGTGGCATAATGTATTAAGAAGGCAGACTTCCTGGGTTCAAATTTTGCTTCTACCCTTTGTCAATCATGTGACTTAAATGCAAGTCACTGGGCTATTCTTTGCTTTGGTTCCTCAACTCTAAAAATGGGTGTGAAAAAAAGAGTACCATGTCACATCATTATTATGAGGATTAAGTGAAGCAATCACAACAGAATACAGGCAATGCAATTGGAGATATTACTGGGCATGCAGTAATCCCTTAATAAGTGTTAGCTACGATTTTTATTATGATCAGAAATCCTAGTGACTGATGTTAATATAAACCATTACTAATTTTTGAGCACTTAGTGAGAACCAAGAATGATAGATGATACACTTATGTTTAACCCTAAAATAATATTAAGTACATTCTATTCTAAAGAAATTAGATCCTTAAAAACATAAAATACATTAACTTATAATTACCATAATAGCTGATAATTTGCCCCATGAAATATGGCAAAGTATGACTAAAATCGTTTTAATGAGACTTTCATGCCTCTAATGAGGATTACTGCTTCCAGGATGGTGATGAGCAGTCATGACAATGTGAAAGGACTTGCTAGCTAATCAGCTGTGTTCACTCATTATCCCTATGAATGTTAAATCCTTGAAAGTTCAGATATTTATGTAAATGTATCTTTATTAAATTCAAAATATTCAACTTTTTCTTGAAAACTCTGATGTTAGGTTCCTTGTTTTTCATTATATGTGAACTTCTCACAAAAGTCTCAAGAGCTTCTTTGCCAAATAACAATTATTATTACCTTGCCTGGTGGTATACAAACATCGCATACACATGTAACATGGTACTTTTATTATTCAATACATAATGGCTAATGATGAAGGTTTTTAATAATAGTTTGAAAATCATGATCAAATTTCATAAATCAAAATTTAATAATGGGCCAGATGTAGTGGCTCATGCCTGCAATACTAGCACTTTGGGAGGCTGAGAAGGGCAAATCATTTGAGGTCAGGAGTTCAAGACCAGTCTGGCAACATGGTGAAACCCTGTGTCTACTAAAAATATAAAAATTAGCCAGGTGTGGTGGTGCGTACCTGTAGTCCCAGCTACTAGTGAGACTGAGGCAGGAGAATGGCTTGAACCCGGGAGGTGGAGGTTGCGGTGAGCTCAGATTGTACCACTGCACTCCAGTCTAGGTAACAGTGAGACTCCGTCACACACACACAAAAATTAACAATGGTTTGCATATACTTTAGATATGAAAAGCATTTCACATACTAAATTAGCATAAACTCACATTATCACAATCATGAGTGTTTTGTTTTGAAAATTATGGATTTAAAATAAATGTTACTGTATTCACTATGCTAAAACAATGTTATTGTATCAATGTAGAAATGATAAACATAATATATACTTTAGAATGAGGATAGAATACACCTTGTGCTTCTACAAATTATCAAGGTCCCTAATGGTACTTTTAAAGTACAAATAAAGCTTTATTTTCATATCTGATACATATACTTTGACAGAAAAATTCTCATGACGGTGTATTCTTTTAAGAGTCTTACTTCTCATATGAGAGCCTTCATAAAATTAAGACTTTTGCTTATCTAAGTTAAAGGTTAAGTTTTGAAATAGACTTATTTTCCTCTTCTTCATCCTGGTTCCCCTCCCTGCACTCCTCTGATCCCCAGGGCCATTGTAGCACAGCACCCAGTATTCATGGCCCAAGGAAGCCATGCCCATTGCAGACACCAAGGATAGCACTGACTTGGTGGAGCTGTCCACAATCATAAAAGGTGCCTGAAGGCAGCTAGAAGAAAGTGAGGTTTGCTGGAGCTCTCTGTCAGATCTCTTCTCCTCGAATAAGAAATAAGCCCTTAGGAGAAAGAGTAAAGCATGTTCTCCCACTTTTTACACATTAATCACTTTCTCTCTTGCAAATTGGGGACTGAAAACCTATACCACACAGTCTATCTTGTCCTTAACATTTTTCATGATGATTTGCAAAGTGTGGCTGGGTCTCTTCAATAATACCCTTCTTCAGGAGGAACTCTCCATTATTACATGCATCCACTTGGAAAAGATGAAAACAAACACACTAAAACAATTGTAATGAATTGGAGAAGAGCCATGGTGGTTAATTTTGAAATCTCTATTTTTTTTTGTTTACGTTCCAGGGATGGATTTTACTCTAAAAGTGAATACTTAATGTCAATACAGAGAAACATCACTTTGTGAAGCTAAATTGTCTGACTGAACTCCTATCCATTTCCAGCATAAATATCTGTATAAACTGAACACTACTTGTTTGCAATGGGAGATTTAGAGAAAAAAAAAATGCATTTATTTATCTTTAGTGGAGAATGTTTAGCCAGCATGTAGTGTTATCTAGTCCAGCATTCAGGAGCTTCTGACTGCTTGGTTTCTTGAGATTTCTTTTCATTCTTCTCCAGCTGGGGGAGGCGGCTCACACAGCTTGTACAGCCTAGAAAAGGCATGGGAAAGTTTGACAGTGACTTAGTGTATTACCATTGCCAAAGGTGTTTTTACTGGTAGAACAAATACACTGATGATAATCTCTTGTTTCATGAGTCACGGTCAGTTGTCTATTTCACAAAAAACAACATATGAATTAGCAAACTCCATAAATTAGATTCTGTGATTTAGAAAGCACCAGTGCCTCTGTGCACATCTTGATGGCTATGGGTAAAGCAATGCTGAATTTTTTAAACCCGCTACTTTTTCTCCAATGCCGACCACCCAGGCTATTCACCACACTCGTGGTAAAACCTGCTCTCTGGATTCCAGGAAATGATATGATTATGATAATTACCATCATGTCTATCATGATTATCTTGTAGCAGGATATCACCTATCTCATAGGAGTCTACTGATTTTCTGACTAGTTTTAGAAATGTGCTTCCTGTTGTACTAACCCCAGAATATAGGCAGTTTGCTGTGAATAGGCTGACATGGCAAGATTCCTGAGGCCTAAATTCCAAAGGCACAATTGGCTAGAGTCTTCTAAGGACAAATTGTCCAGCTTTGCCCAGGGCCTACTCACCCAACAGTGGACTCTCCAAGTGGGTCAAGGAATCCACTTGAACCATGTCAATGCCTGGAAATGCTTCCCGTTGCAGCCCGGATCTAGTTATTCAAGACTATACAGCATTAAAGGAAAGCTCAGGGGGGTTAACTAGGGTCACACAAGTTCCAATGCTCCACGTTCTTATAAGTGGTTAAATGAAAATAGCAGAAGCAAAATACAAGTGAACATAATAGCTGCCTGATAGCCCTAGTGACCCCAAGGTCATACACATTACTTACGGTATATCCTGAGAGCTTGATTAGCTGCCCTATAGTGCTGGATTGGACTACACCTGTTCTCTAAACAGCACCCATGGCCACACTGGTCCCACTGCAGAGCTTGCACTAATGATGTGAAAATGTAAGGTGCAGATTTCCACTTTGCATCTTTTCATAAAAGCACTCCAAACTCAGGACTGTAGCTGTAGTGATTCAATCCCTTTTACCAACTACATTGAAAACAGCTTCAGTGAATTGCTGACCAATTTAGCAAATTATAAATTTCCTCTCTCTTTGACATTTAATCCCATGCTAATTATAAATCAAAAGAGAAGAATGAGCAATATTTAATATTGAGTTATAAATCTGGTTAACAAAAAGAGCTTTCCTAGTATGAGAACATGCAGAAGAAGCTGTTGACTTTGTAGGTTTGCAAAATGTATTTCAAGTCTGGAAGGTGGTTTATGCTCTACATGTTATCTCCATGCAAGAGGTGAGTACTGAAATAAAGACATCTCACATCAGAAAAAGCTTATTTCATCCTTCCCGGAGAAAAGATCACATTACATTGACCTGATGTACTTCAAAGGTTCTTTTGCAGCTGAAGAATATGGTGTTACTTCAAATTACATTGCCAGGCTGGGATAATAAAATGATCAGAAGGTTCTTTTCTTCCTAATTTCCTTCCTCTTATTTCCCAGACAGTGCTGCCTAATGAATGAAAAGGCACAATGGGTTTACTCACGTAGGACAGGAACGGGAAGATGGGTGGCAAATATCCTGCCCCATGAGATCTGGGCTGAGCCATCACATTCCATTACCTTGCTCAGCATATTTCCATGTAATGTAACTAATAGCACTGGGTAGTCGAGTCTTTGAAATGTCTGCCTTGCAAATTGGAGAACAGGCTACTCCCTGTGATCACCTAATGAAATAATAGCTCTGGGTATTGTGGAACTGGGCAGATTCAGCTTCTGTCAGGCTTCTTGGAAGTGACTCAGGGTTATTTGAGTTCAGACACATTTGTAATGGAAATTGCAGAGCTTTGGGAATTTAGAATAGGCAGATGAAGTTTCGAAGTGAAATGTAATAGGTAAGAGTTTGACTCTGATCCTGCACTGAAACATTTATTTTTTGGCAGGTAAATTATTGGGCAGTGTAAGGCCTTGGTCTGCCCAACATTTGGGGCCCTTTTGTGTTCTCTTTCCACTCATGCACATCTGTGGCCCTGCACCAAAAAGGTCTGTTTTTGGCCTCTTTCTCCTATTCTTGCGTGGGCTCAGGTAGCCCAAATTTCCAGCCCAAACACAAATCTGCCGAGAGCAGAACTTTCCAACTTCATGCTACAGATGATGCCTTTCACCTTCCACATAGCAAAAATAAAAGCCATGTGAAAGGAGGCCACAAAACAAATGCCTCTTTCAAGGTTAAAGCATCAATAACAGTCTGTCCCAGGGCAATTCTCCCCATCTCACATATGAGAAAACTGAGTCTCAGAGAGGAAAAAACCTGACTAAATAAGGTCACACTGCCATTTTTTTTAACCTTTTTTTTTTTTTTTTTTTTTTAAGACAATGTCTCCGTTGTCCCTCCCAGGCTGGAGTGCAGTGGTACAGCCATAGCTCATTGCAGCCTCAGCCTCCCAGGCTCAAGCTATCTTTCCATCTCAGTCTCCTGAGTAGGTGGGACCACAGCCAAACGGCACCATGCCTGGCTATTTTATTTTTTATTTTATGTAAGGACAAGGTCTTGCTTTGTTGCCCCGGCTGGTCTTGAACTCCTGGTCTCAAGCAGTCTTCTCACTTCAGCCTCCCAAAGTGCAAGGATTACACATATGAGCCACCATGCTTGGCCCATTTTTTTCACTTTTAGCCACTATAGAATGCCCTTTTCCAATTAAACAAATAAAGAAAATCAGATTTTCATAGCACAAGAGTTCCAGATTTTGTGACATAATAGAGAATAAAGCCAGTGCGCTGGATGTGCAATCTGACATCTGGAAGGTAGTATTTGGTTCTTGAGGAAGAGAGGCTTATTTCTCTGAAGAGCAATGTATGAAGCTGGGGGTGGGGGGAAGGTCCTTTGTACCCTGACCTCACATACATCCTATCACGATACCCATTCACTTGATTCTCTAAATTTATTTTGTCTTTGTATTCTACTAGGCTGCAAGCTCTTTCAGTACATGAAGTGTTTCCCATCCATCTTAATTCCCCAATGCCAAGAGCAATTCTGGACACATCTTTTAGACAGAGATTGCTAAAGGGGAAGATGCAAAATGCATTGGAGCCAAGCGTGTCCAAGAAACATCCCTCTCCAGAGCTGGCTTTACCTATCTCAGAATTATTAAACTCTGATACTCTGCTTTCTAGCTTTCTGATTTCCTAAATTATTAGATTCACTCTTCCAGGAGTGTGACTATGGCTGATTGCTCCTTTTTGAATTCCAGAACAACCGTCTCCTGTCCGTGGCTCACTAGATTCTGTAGCCTCCTCTGCTTTCTCTTCAGTGCTGGCATTCCCTGGAGGTGTCCTGACCTTCTCTCAGTCTCTCTTACCCATTCATCATGGCAACAGAACTGATTTCTGTGTCTTCACCTACCCCCTAAATATTGATGACTCATAGGACTATAGCGCCACCTATTCTTTTCTCCTTGGCTTTTGACCAGTATATTTGACCATCCACAATGTGCTCTCCAGGGATGACCACTGATGCTCATCTCACTACTACCAAGCTGAACTCCCATCTCCTCCCCGTGAGTGTGCTTCCCCTCTGTACCCACTGTCTCAGAGGAAAGAACCATCAGCACCTCATTATCCAAGCCAAAGTTTTGGTAGTCATCCTAGAATCTTCCTTTTCTATAAACTCCTTCATCCAATGAGTGTCCAAAGAGTATCAATTCTGTCTTCTAAATATCTCTCTAATCCATCCTCTCTTCTTGGTCCTCAACATTACCATAATCTTTTTAAGCTTCTGCTTCAGTCTTAGCTGTCCTCAAATGGGCCCTCCTGAAGTTGCCAGAGATGAATTCCAAAATTCAAGTCTTCCAGATAGGAAGATTGCTTATGGATGCCTCCCTGCTGTCTTCAAGTTCAAACCAAAACTCTTCTGTACTTCTGCAAGTCTCTTCTGATCTGGCCCCTACATCTCCAGCCTCACTTCACATGGCACTTGAATCACATTCGACCACCAGTCATTGAGGTCTAAGTGTAGTTCTCAGAATGTTGTCTTCTCTGGTCCTTAGTGCTCTTGCATCCCCTGCATGGGACATGCATTACAATACGGACTGGCCCAGGAATATTCTGTGACCTCTTCTCTCTGTCCTTAGGCTACACCATACTCCTTCTCCATGCTCTCATGACAGTCTGTGCCTATTTCCATCTTACTTTTTATCACACACTGTGGACTATTTTTATTCTATTCCATTGTTGCTCTGCTACAGTTCAACAACTGGCAGAGGACATTATGTCTTCAGTCCTCTAGCACTTAACAAGGGCCTGACACCTATAGACACATAGCAGACGTTCAACATATGTACTCTGAGTAAACTTTTTAAAAGTCAAGTGTATAGTGAGAGGAAAACTCTGACAGGGATGGGTTGAGGATTTGAACCAAATACTATCTCAGGCAGAGATAGAAAACTTCAGTTCCAAGAATGTTTCCAGAAACATTATCCCAGTTTTGCCCATGGATGGCCTTGCCTTGAATTCCAAATGTATTCTTCAACTCAGTATCTTTGGGTCGGAGTCCAGGTCCTCAGCTGGAAGAGATTCCAGCCCCTCTGTGCTCCTTGGCATTCTCTGCACCCACCACAGGGTGATTCTTGCATTCTACCTTTCCTTGTAATTATGCCTTCTTCACCTCATCTTTTTAACGAAAAGCTTCATGAGGGCCAGGGCTACTTGTAAATCAGGTTTATACTCTCCTTGGGGCATAGCAGAGTGTTTTGCATCTCTTAGGTCCTCAATAAATATTTGCAGAATGAAAGAAAGAATAAATAAAATACATTTTAAAAATGACTCTTATCTCTCAGGCCTATTACTCCCTGGTAGATAATGTCAACTTCATGGCTGGCTCATTTTATTGAGTTTCACTTCAAGTGTTTCAAACATAACCCAATTTTTTTAAAAAAGCAAGTTCACTGGATTCTTTTCTTGTGCTCAGCTTGCATATTGGTTTACTGATCAGGGCATGGTGCTGAAGTCGGATACCACCCACTCTGCCACTGTTTATTAGTTTTCCAGGTCTAGCTAAGAAGACCTTGCTGAACCATGATTTTGTTTTCTTGTTGGAATTTTAACACTTCACTGGGTCTATTATCCAAATTTACCATGCCTCCCAACATGCTGGATGGAGAATACATATGTAAAAATAATCCTTTAGCAATATAAAGTCTTAGATTCTAACCTAATCCACTGTGAAAGGCAACATTAACAAAACTTGTGGATTAAATAGAGTTAGGAGTCAGCACTAAAAATAAATGCAATTAGAACATGAGTGCCCCATCCATTTTCAGGGGGAAAATATGTTTTCCCTGTGAAAGCACTTTCACTACCCACATGATTTTTCAGAATGAAATGTAACTTCATAAATGCTGCAGCCATCATTCTCACTCTGGTAACTGCTCTGTAAACGGAAATAGTGTTTTGTCTGTGGCTATGTTTGGAGGAGCCTACTTTTGGTTAAAACACCAATGTATAAAAGCAATCAAATGTAAAAGAAATTATTTAGCTTTTCCCCACTTCAAGATAGCTGGTTGCCTACCCTCATTACCAGGGAAGTAAAAGCCATAACATTTCTCTGGTGGTTATTAATTATGTTCATTTGTTTTAAAGGTCAATGGGAGTCCTTTCTTATGATGCTGTATGGACTGTAAATATTTGAGATAACAAACAAAAATCTCATTCATTCATTTCTTCATTCAGACATTCTTGAAATCTGTTCAGATATATGATGAGTAATAAATAAAATCCAAAAAAATTATCCGTCTCCAGAGAACTCATGTTCAGGTTGGGCAAAGAAAATGTGACAATACACTGCAACTACATATGATAAAGGTTATCATAGGTCAATACCACGAGATGCTAAGGGAGTACCAGAGGAAGGAAACTCAAGCAAGACTCCAAGGAGAAAATGATATTTATGCTAGATTCTTCAGTGATATAGGAGTTTTCCATACAAACACATATGGGAAAGGCAATCATGTTAGAAGGAACAGCATGTGCAGTCACAGAAGTATAAATGAAAATAGCATTTTGGTTGTTTGGCAAAGCTAGATTACAAATTTTAGTAGTGCCTGTGTGAGCTTTTCCTTTTGAATTCATGATAGAACTTGTAAAATAGAATAATAGCCATTTATTTCTGAGAGCATTTATGTGTTATCACAGTTAGCTACTGGGTATTTTAAGGGCACTCTTTGTAATTACAATCAGTACAACACTGGGTACATCCTAGGTCTGTTGCATTAGCGGAGGAATGCTGCCTAGAAAATGCTGGCAAATCTTTTGGTCAAGGGCAGAGCAGGCGATGCATTTACCTTGGTGCAGACTGTGGGGTCCGGTCTCTAACTCCCAAATTCTTCGCTGTATTCTGAACTCTTGCTCCCTGAAAGTCAGGAAAATCACTTTTATCCCTACAGTGTATTAGTAATAATTTAACATACCGTTAACATTTGTGTGTAGGATACTTATTCCAACAATGTCTTTAACATCAAGAGAGATTAAGAGGAAGATAGATATTGCCATCTGAGCATTTTCAAAATCAATGCTTTTAAGAATAAAAATGTGCTGTTATGTTGCTTTGGTTTTATTTGTAGAAGTAATCAATATTTCAGATATTGAAAACAGGACAGACACAGTGCCTCATGCCTGTAATTCCAGCACTTCGGGGGCCGAGGCGGAAAGATTACTAAAGCCTGGGAGTTCGAGATCAGCCTTGGAAACACAGTGAGGCTCTGTCTCCACAAAAAATACAAAAATTAGTCAGGCATGGTGGCACACAATTGTGGTCCCAGCTACCGGAAAGGCTAAAGCGGGAGGTTTGCTTGAGCCCAGGATGTCAAGGCTACAGTAAGCCATGTTTGCACCACTGCATTCCAGCCTGGGAGACAGAGTGAGACCCTGTCTCCAATAAAAAAAAAAAAAGAAAAACAGATCAAAATGTTACAAAGATGTTAAAAATAGTAAATGAGCATACTATAAACACCTGTTTTGTGTTACCACTTTTCTGGAACAGAAATCACAGTTGAATCACACTTGTGCCCCTGTTTTCTTCTTACCTATCATTAACTATTTTAAGTTTACTAGTATTTAGCAAAAACATATTTTCTTAACTACTTCTAAAGCAATTTCTGGACAAGCCATGCCTATGCAGATCTATGAAATCTAATAATTCTGCCTCAGAGTTTATGACACAATCTACTTTGGCAATGAAAATGTCTTCACAGTCTGTCAAATTCATGAATGAAGTTATAATCACTTCAGTTCCTCATGAAAATTACTTACTACATAGGAGTGAACACCAGAGTTTGGGGTTGGGAATAGGTTAAGCAGAGTTGTTCAAAACCTCTGAAACTCTCTCTCCAGCTACTGAATTCTGAACTAAGAAAAGAAATAGGCTATAAAGAAGGGGAAAAAAAAAGAACACATTCTCTTAAAAAGGTCCTAAAATAGAAAAGCAAAAGGGAAGTGGGTGTGGCATCAAAAAGAAAGGTGGGAAGAAATTTAGGAATTGCAGTTAAGGAGTTAAGAAAAACTATTTTGCCTGATCCAAAAACAGTTATCTCAACTGACTGTTCACAGGCAGTTACAGATAATTAAGCTCATTGTTCTGTTCTTTCCCCTACTTCTCACCACTGCACTTGACCAATCTTAAATAAAAACAAAACAAACAAGGAGAGCTTCTTATTTTGAAGTAGTTTTAGACTTAGAGAAAAATATAAACAGAACCCAGACTTTATATATTCCACGTGGCTTTCCCTAATGTTAACTCTTCCCTTAACCACAAAACCAAGAATTAACGTTGGCACAGTACTATCAACTAACCTGCACATCTTATGGAAACTTATCCATTTTGTCCCACCAAGGCCTATTTTCTGTTTCAAGATCCAACCTAAGATCCCGTATTGCCTTTTGCTTACATCGCCTTCGTCCCTTCCAATCTGTGACAGTTCTTTAGCTGCTTCCTGCCTTTCATGACCTTAACACTCTTGATAAGTATTGGTCATTACTTTGCAGAATGTCTCAGTTTGGGTTGATTTGATGTTTGCTCATGACTAGAAGCAGGAAATGCACTTGGGCAGGAAAATCGTAGAAGTGATGTCATGCCCTTACTAATGCATCCTATCAGGGCCTACAAGATGCCAGCATATCTTATCACTGCTCGCATTAACTTTTCATCACTTTGATGTCTGCCAGATTTGGCCACTGCAAAGTTACTCATTTCTTTTCCTTTTTCTTTTTTTGTAGTTAATAAATATGTTTGGGGATATACTAGGAGACTGTGCAATGTCTTGTTTCTCTTCAAACTTTCACTCACTGATTTCAGCCTCTGTTGGTGTATCTTGTCTACAACAATAATATTGTCATATTTAGGAACTGGAATCCCGTTAGAAAGAGTAATCTCTTCTCCCCAAATTATTTGTTTATTCAAGTATATATTTAAATCAGTATGGACTCATAATTATTTTATTCCATGGGATATAATCCAATACTTTTATTAATTTTGTTTTTTGCTAAAATTGTTTCAGTTTTGGCCACTGGGAGCTCTTTCTGGTTGTTTCTTGTGCCTTTTTGATATGCTGCCATCGCTGTTTAGTGCTCCTTTATTCTATGGCACCTCGAGATGTTCCAGGCTCATCTTCTTTGTCTCATCTGGTAATTTACCATTTCTCCAAGGGGTCCTGGCTCTTTTCATTGGAGAATAGTATTTAGAAGCCAAGATTTGGACATTCAGTGTGCTCATTACTACTGGCAGAATAACTGCAACTAGGGCTTTCCAGTTGGCAAAGCTAATTTACAAATACTAACATACTCATATATCTATATTCATTTCTCCATCTATCCATATTTGTATGCGTCTGTGTGTGTTTTTATCGGTTCATACTGATACATGTGATTTCAATCCAGTAACATAGGGTTCATTCCAGATTGCAGCCTTCTTCCTTTCCTTATCTGTAAACTTTTTTTCAATGAGAGAAATCAGTTTCTTGTTATTTACAATATCTTATTTGTTTATTCTTAGTAACACATAAATTAGTTTTAGAATTCCTAAATCATAGCCTGTGAAAAACAGATTTATTGACTAGTGTGAAGTAGTTGTGTACAATGCTTGTTGTCTATAATTTTATATAATATTTTCGTTACGTAATTCCATTAAGAAAAACGTTTGCTTTCTAAAAGATTTCAAATAAAGCTGATGCTTGTCATGGTGAAGACATCAATTGGCGTATTTCACTTTGAATTAATCTATATTGTTCATAGACTCAACATGCCAGCTACTTGTGTTTTTATGCCCTTGCTGATATTTCTCCCTCTTCTTCCTGACCCCTTCCCTTCCTGTATGCATCGTATTTATCCTCCAAGTTCCAAACCAAATATCATCTTCGTTAATAATTGATTGGTCATTCACTATATCAGGTACTGTTTTAAGTGCATTAAGTATGTCTATTTATTTAATTCTCACAACAACACTATGAAACAAGTACTATTATTGTTCTTGTTTTAATATTGAGGAAACTAAGTACCAAAGAGGCGAAGAATCTTCCCCTGAATCATCCGGATAGTAAACACTGGAGCTGGAATTGAAATTGTGGCCGCTTGACTCAAGAGTCTGTTCTTTTTTATTCACAATAGCAAAGTCACGGAATCAACCTATGTGCCCATCAACAGTGGGCTGGATAAGAAAACATGTGGTACATATACACCATGGAGTACTATATGCCATAAAAAGGACAAAATCATGTTCTTTGCAGCAGCATGACTGCTGTTGGAGGCCATTATCCTAAGTGAATTAACACTTAAATAGAAAATCAAATACTGCATGTTCTCACTTTTAAGTGGGGAACTCAACAATAAGTACACATGGACATAAAGATGGAAACGACAGACACTGTGGACTCCAAGAGGGGAGAGGAAGGAAGTGGGACAAGGATTTAAAAAATCATCTATTGCATATTATGTTTACTATTTGGGTGATGGGTTCGACCAAAGCCCAAACCCCAACATTATGTAACATATCCATGTAACAAACCTGCACACATTCTCTTTGAATCTAAAACAAAAGAGAAACATACTCTGTGCTCTTAGCCACTATCATAAACTCACCTGCATTGAGCCCTTCTCCAACCATCCTAGTTAGAATGAAATCATTGAACAAATGTCCTTTGGCATTTACTTTGTACTAGGTACTATTTTGAGAAACTGTGATTCCAAAATCAGTAAGACTTATCCCAGCCAGGGAGGGGCTCACGGTCTACTCACTTACTCCCTGTTCTGAGTCTTGAAAACACTGATGTCGGATACCTGGTAGAGACTTGCTTGCTTGTGCCCATGGCATGGTGATTTTCCTATGCATGTGTCCATCATGAGATTAGGCAAGGACAACATCAACCTCATATCTTTGTTCTTAGTGCTTAGTGTGATGCTTTGATACTGTAGATAAGGAGTCAAGATACTTTGGAATCCCAGTTTTTATTAAAAAGTTTAAGAGGACATTTTTTATAGGCTGCCATCAAAGAACACTATGAATATATAACTTACAGCATAGAAAACTAAATTTATAATGTAAATGACAGTTTCTATTGTAAGCCTTTTATTACTCAAATCAGCTGGTTACATAAAGTGCTGCCTAAGGTTGTTATAATCATTACCAAAATATGTGAAAGCCATAGTACCCTTCTCTTCTGTCTTTCATCTTTCCTTCAAACTCAAGCAGTGAGTTAAAATAACAACTCTATGAAAAGTATATACACAAAATCTATAGAGAAAAACCATACTGCAATTAAAATAAGAACAATAAATCATGCCAAAAAGCTTCTTGTTCTCAAAAAAACCTAAAAATCTTAGTTTTATCATTATATTATTCATTCATATATTATAAAACATTAATAGATAATATTCTTTAATATATCATAATTTAAATTTGATAATGCAATAATACAAATACTTCAACATATACTGAAGATAACAAATATCTAACCACTTGGTCTCTAAAAAGCTGAATCTAAATTGTTAAGTAATTGTCCCTGAAGTTGAAAGGTAAAAAGGAGAGAAAAATCCAAGCTAGACCTTTGATTCAGACTTGCATTCTAACTTCTTAAATCATTAGTAGGTAAGAGTTGGCTTGTGGATTGGACCTCACCCACAAATCTCACTGTTTGCTACTGCTGAATACTGGAAGGAGAATCGGCGACAGGGGAACTGTTGAAGAAATCTCTGGGACCACCAGTCTGTCTAGTTTCCCTAAAAGAGGGTCCCAGGATCTTTCACAAAGAAGTTATAACGGCTTCATTCTTTGCCTCTCATAGCCATTGGGATGTCACAACTTGCGGCAGAGGAACAAATAATAAAAGGAAGCAAGCTATCTATTCCAAATGTATTCACTTTAAAAAAAATTAAGGGGAAGAATAAGTTATATATACTGAAAAAAATAGTGTGGTTTATGTGTCAACGGGAATTTTATAAGGAACCCCGTGACTTTTGAGTCTTTTTAAATTATACTACATAGCAATATAACAATACTATATAAATATAACTTACATTTTATTTTAAAGAGCTTTATATCAGTTAAGTGAGTCATTAGGGCATACATAATATCAATATTACTTTAATCTCTATTTTCTCTATTTCCATTTTCCATTTTAAGAAGTTAAAATATTTGATATAATTATTACTATTCAAATCTGTACAGTAGAAATGGATATGTCACCAACTCATAACTACCTCCTTTGTGGAATATTCTATAAGAAGGTAAATTCCAGTCTCTTTTGCTTGCCATAAACTATAATTTTTAGATGGTACTTCCTAAGTCTTCCTACAAACCTACTCTAATATATAACACAATCAAACAGAAAGGCGATTAATTTCTTTCTGTATTTCTTGGCAACCTAAATCTCAACTCTGATATGGATAATCATAAGTATACTTGGACCTACTTTTTAAAACAGAATTTGTATATATATCCAAAAGTCCTTCCTAAACCTGCTGGCAAATCACATCTGTGTTTACCCTTCCCAGCTGGCCTATGGCACATCACATGTTTCGTAGCTCTAACCTTTACTTAGCAAATCTCTCTTGGACCTTCAAAGATCTTGGTTTTTAATCTTCAGCTCCTGAGTCCTAACCAGAAGTACCAATGTATATGCTCTCCCTGTGCCTGATCTCTGAATTGCAGACACCAGTTTGATGTTGGCCTCTTCAGCTGATTTTTTGATGGGCTTTGTGGGCATTCTGCAGTGCAGTCTTGGGAGCAAGCCCAGGGGGATTTATATGTTTGCCTTAGAGTTAGACACTAAGCTTCCAATAAACAAAGTAGTCATAATTACAAAGCATATCTTAAAAATTAAATAACTCACTGTCACTGGGCAACTCAAACCAAGTCAGCAAGTAGAGAAATTTGTTAAATCATTTTTCTGTGGTAGCCCAAAGAAAAGGTGGTAGAATAAAATAGAAAATTTAGGTCTTTTGATTTCTTTTGTCTTTCTGTAGGTTAAGTGTTTTCTGCTAGGTTGAGCACATTTTCTTAATTAGTGAATTGGAGCTTAGGGGATTTTTGTTTTTGTCTTTTTTTTTTTTAAATAAGTTTAAGGGTTAAAAACTAAACGCCACACTTAGAATACCATTGGGTTACTGTATAAAGCTCATTCTATTTATAAGAGAGTATATTCTCACCTATGAGTACTCCAGTGACCCAGAGATGGTCCAAAGACTGCTACTTATTCCCTAAATGCTGCTACTTATTCCCTAAATGAAAATTCGAGGTGGGTTCTTTATCCTCAGAATAACGTACACACTGAGTATGGCATGAAAGTTCCTTGGTGGTTGCCAGAAGCCACCAGGGCCCTAAATTATTTCGTCTTCTTCCTTGCCCCTGTCCCTCTCCACCCCCAGCTTTACCATCAACAATTACCAGAAAATGCCATATGTCCTTTCACTTGTTCCTTATATAAGCACCAAATTCACTGCTGCCCCATTCCACTTGGTCAAATCCCTTTCTGCCTGCAGATTACCACCTAGATATCCCTTTTTCCAGAGTTGTCTAAGATTCTTGCAGAACCTTAGACTGGTGCCTGCAGCATCTTCTCCCTGGCAGCATTTCTCATTTATGAGTTACCTCTGAGCCTAGTGAACTGCCCATCACATCCAGGCACCTGTCAGACACCTGGTAAATGAACAAAGGAATCTTAGTCCATGGCCTACAAAACAACTCTCCTCAAGTCTGCATGAGACCTACCTGCTTCCGCATCACATCTGTAGCCTGCATGATATAGCGAGGTGGCAGTCCATGGCTTCTGGCCAGAATGATCGCTTGCTCCAGCGTCACGCTCAGGGTGCACCTGGGGGCCAAGGTAAGGGCAAGTCAGACCCCACAGTTCCTGATACACCCTTTGAGACTATCTGGATTACCAATCACAAAATCAGAAAGCACCAGCCAAAATCAAAGCAACTAGACAATGAACCGCTGGTTTTTCTACATAGAACACCAGTTTAAAAATAGATTATAAAGACACAGTACTGGGGTCAGAAATTAAGTATTTAAATTTAAAACAAATCCATGATGAACTATGTTTATAAGAGCACTTATCTACAGAAAATTAACCAGAATTAGAACAAGTTTTATTACTAAATATTATTCTTTGATATTTCATATAATTTAGAAAAATGACTAAAGAATATTTACTATTAATGTCTACATATTGATAGTTAATAGATTTATACTGATTTATGCACAAATATTGTAGAAAAATAAACAATGAAATTACTATTTCTTGAGGTCAGAATTGGTTTTTTTAAATGTGTTTATTGGACCCAACTAAAAGAGTGTTTGTAAAAGTTCCCCCCAAAAAACATATAACTAGTTTTACAGAAACGTGATACCAACAGTAGCCCTGAGAAAAGTGTTCTAACCAGAATTTAGTGATTGGTGAGCCTGTGTTCTTTTCCTTCTCTGTAAGGCATTCTTTTCTGTTCTTCCACATTGATCTCTATAGTAGCCTTAAAGCTTATGTTCATTTATTAACATTTTAAAGTGCTGGTCTCTAAGTGGTTCTTTTAAGGGTAGCTTTTGCATACATTTCATAAAAATTGTCATTAATTTTAGATACTTCTCCTAAAATTTGTATTAATGAATTTTGTTTTACTTTTTTTTTTTCTTATTGCATTTCAGGTTTTGGGGTACATGTGAAAAACATGCAAGATTGTTGCATAGGTACACACATGGCAGTGTGATTTGCTGCCTTCCTCCCCTTCACCTATATCTGGCATTTCTCCCCATGCTATCTCTCCCCAACTCCCCACCCACCCGTCCCTCCCCCATTTTCCCCCAATAGACCCCAGTATGTAGTGCTCCCCTCCCTGTGTCCATGTGTTCTCATTGTTCAACACCCGCCTATGAGTGAGAACATGCAGTGTTTGATCATCTGCTCTTGTGTCAGTTTGCTGAGAATGATGGTTTTCAGATTCATCCATGTCCCTACAAAGGACATGAACTCATTATTTTTGATGGCTGCATAATATTCCATGGTGTATATGTACCACATTTTCCCTGCCCAGTCTATCACCGATGGGCATTTGGGTTGGTTCCAGGTCTTTGCTATTGTAAACAGTGCTGCAATGAAAATTCGTGTGCATGTGTCCTTATAGTTACTTTTTTTTTTAACAGATTCATATTTTAATTAGCCTTTTCTCCATTTTTGCATTTACCTACCTATAGTTTGGTGTTTTATTTGTGTATTAGCTCTGTCTAGTGTTTTTTACCTTCAAATAACAATAAGTTCCACAATGCAATTGTTTCTATGGGAGAAATATCTAACTCATTGTTTATGAGGTTCTAACACAGAAGTTCTTGGTTATGAGGCTCTAACACAGAAGTCCAATGAATTTGGTAGGTTTTGATACTGACAATTAAGATAAAAAGAGAGCGGGATTTAAAATATTTCTGTTGTAATATTAGAAAGAACCTGACATATACAACAGCGTGGTTACACATAATTGCATTCTAAGGAGAAACATGTAAGTTCTATTGGCTGTTAAATGACTTGAAAGGCAGCTTTCTCATTACCATTACAGGGAATTCATTATTATGAATTCATTATTATGATCACATGTTCAGGTGGGCTAACGCTTCATCATTAAGTTCTAGTTGCACATGATGCTTACAAAGTTTTCGTGTGTGAGTCTGGTAATGATGCATATTGTTTTACATGTACATGTGAGCTGCAGAACAGTCTATGCTGATGAAGGCCAAGCAGTATAACTAACAGTTCATGTTTAAAAAATCAATTTTCTACAAAGCATTTAATCGCCAGCTTACTCAACAGATCATAACCTTTTTCTCCTCCTTAAGGTCTCCTCCACTCCAATTTTAAATCTTTATTGATCCTAACATTTTAATCAATAATGCTCATTACACCAGCTGAATGAAGCCAAGGGGAGAAAAAAAAATCTTTATCTTTTTCTAATCATGCTGAAATATGTCTGTGCTTTCCTGATAAAGCACAACTTGCTTTATCTCTCTTGTACTCACTTATAAACAAGACTTACATGCTGTGAAGGGCTTTAAACAGGCAGCCTACAATTATTATTTATTTTCTTAACCTTTTTAAACTGATTTCTTTTTTAAATTTTATTATTATTATACTTTAAGTTCTGAGATACATGGGCAGAATGTGCAGATTTGTTACATCGGTATACATGTGCCATGGTAGTTTGCTGCGCCCATCAACCCCTCATCTACATTAGGTATTTCTCCTAATGCTGTCTCTCCCCTAGTCCCCCACCCACCCCTGACAGGTCCCGGTGAGTGATGTTCCCCTTCCTGTGTCCATGTGTTCTCATTGTTCAACTCCCACTTATGAGTGAGAACATGCGGTGTTTGGTTTTCTGTTCTTGTGTCGGTTTGCTGAGAATGATGGCTTCCAGCTTCATCCATATCCCTGCAAAGAACATGAACCCATCCTTTTTTATGGCTGCATAGTATTCCACGGCGTATGTGTGCCACATTTTCTTTATCCAGTCTATCATTGGTGGGAATAATAATAATAATAAACATAAGCATGTGTCTTTACAGTAGAATGATTTATAATCCTTTGGGTATATATCCAGTAATGGGATTGCTGGGTCGATGGTATGTCTGGTTCTAGATACTCGAGGAATTGCCACACTGTCTTCCACAAGGGTTGACCTAATTTCTTTTTCTCTACCTCAAGTCGTAGTAAGCAGAAAATTACCTGGCAGAGATTATAAAAGATTTTACTGCAATCAGGAAGCGAATGTGCTCAGGAGCATGCTCTCTGAAAGGATACCTCAAAGTGTGATTTGCAACCAATCACACATCACCTAACAGAAAAATCTACCTTCAAATGGATATGTATATTTTCTTTCCCCAGCATATCAAAAAAAAAAAAAAAAAGATGGCTGCACCTATATTTGCCTTTTCATGCTAACCATTATATATCTTTCAATTTGGTCCCAAAATTAATTTGAAATTTTAAAAAAGTAAAAAGTGTTAAAAACAGACAATCACATAAAGGTGGGAAATATTGCCTGTAATGTGATTCTTGATTGATGGGTACAACCAAGGCCTTGTATTTCCATTAGCAGCATCACAGAATTCCATTTTCCTGAATTAAGCATGTGAAGGAAAGCCTCGCAGGAACGCTGCCACTCTTCTGTCAGTATACCATTATTTGCCCCGTAGCTTTCATCTTCTCCCAACTATCTCAACTTGAATGTCAAGTGGAAAATATCAGCATTTGCAAGAAGCATTCTGATGCTGGCATTCTCTGATGGACTCCAGGTCCAGAAAGTGGCACATGGTTTTTCAGTAGCACATAAATATATACTCAGAGTCAGATTTACAAGAGCTCATTTGATTTTATAGGCACTTTCTGATGGCCAGAGAGACTGATATGCTAGCCCTGAGCAAGAGAATGAAAGGAGCTTATTAAAAGCCAGGAACCCTCATTCAATAGGAGGTTTCTCTTTTTTTGGAGATAGGGTCTCACTCTGTTGCCCAGGCTAAAAAGCAGTAGTGCTATCTCAGCTCACTGCAGCTTTAACTTCCTGGGCTCAGGTGATCCTCCGACCTCAGCCTTCTGAGTAGCTGGGACTACAAGAATACACCACCACATCCAGCCAATTTTTGTATTTTTTGTGGAGATGGGTTTTCATCATATTGCCCAGGCTGGTTTTGAACTCCTGGTCTCAAACAATTCACCTGCTTCAGCCTCCCAAAGTACCGGAATTACAGGCATGAACCACCATGCCCAGCCCAATGCAGGGTTTCTTACCTGATGCCCCAGTCTTCCTCCTAGCATGAACTCTGTTTTACAGTTAAATTAAAATTTGAATAAATCTATATTTTTGCCCCATCTGGAAAATACAGGCCTTCAATTGTTCAGCTCCTTCTACTACAATGTCACTTAAAAAATACTCACACAACTCTTCCCCTAGAAGCCACAAAATAAATGTCACAGAGTAGTATTTGACCTTCATAAAAAGGCAAATGTAACATATGCACTGAAGAAAGTTTTTCCATCATTTTAGTAATAAGACATTCCAAGTAATGGCTCTGCTTAGAGTATACATGTGAGAAAGCACACTTGATAGGGTAGCAAAGTTATATAGACATTTTAAATTTCCCCATAGTAAGAAAAAGGAAAAGGTCAATATATCTGTGCTTATAATTAATAAATCTCCTTGACATATTTTGTACTGAGAATACATCCCAAGTCACTCAGATATTTAGCGTAGTTTTAATATGATAAATGTGACTTATAGCTAATGGGTCCCATTTAATTTGAAGGACAGTTTGATTTAGCAATGCTAAGAAAGATGAATTAAAATGAACTTTATTGCTTGATTCTTTCTTTCACTTATTCATTTGCCAAACATTTTTTGACTGTCTACTTTGTACCTACAAGTACCATAAAGTGCTGGCAGGAGTGGATTTACTTTGAAGCTATAAAAGCTAGAGTTTCAAGGCCCCTTACTTGTACAAATACCTTTCCAGGTTCTGGGAGGGGCCTTAGCACTGTGTTCACATAGTCACATGCATTTACAAATGTGCAAAAACAAAATGTTTTAACTGCAAAAGGTATGGCTGCTGTCTTCTTTACATCCCAGCTTCCTTCTGTCCTGTTGGGTAGTGTTCAATTGGCTGTGGTTATTTTTGAAACTGAGCTAAAGAAAGTTTAGTTGGGATGCGTTCAGGCTATGTTTGCTGGGACCTATTTATAGGACAATAATTACTTCCATTTATGTCTGGGTTATTGTAGTATCCTGTGTAGAAATGGCTTCCAGAGTAGTCCTACTGCCCATTGCACAGAGTCATCCA